TATCGAATCCATTTTACAACCTCTAAAATTATTCTAACAATTTACTGTTATTCCAGCTCCCATCATCCAAAATAGAAGAAATATTGCCAAAGAGTTCATATTTCATCGCACCATATTAGCAAACAGTCAATATCTTACGGTATATTATATTTTCCACCAATCGGATGGTCCAATTCAGTTTCTCGTATCTGCTCAGATCACTTGAATGTCAAGGCCATCTATGGCCGACAAGTGAGTATGATTGCCGATGGTTTTGGAGAAAATGCCTGCTTACTGTCGAGGAAATGATTTGTAGATGTTGAAATAAGTTTTTAGACCCGTGGAATGCCGCTGCCGATCAAATCTAGCCCTACATGGGTGCTGTCAACATGGCTTGAATTAATAAACAAATTTAAAAGGTGAGTTTTTGCTGTCTTGGGTGATCCATGATTTTGGCTTGGAATTGCGGAGGTAGCTGTTTTCGGTGAGTCGTGGCGTATAACTTTTGAAATAATGATCCGGTGTGACCATTTATAGCTCATTTTGTAGTCTATATACCTATATGTCTTTCTAACGCTGTTTCTAAGCGTGACACGCCCCTGTGCCCGAAGGGACCCGTCTACAGGATATTTTGCCGGGAACCACAGCTGAGCTAAATGATCTCCAGACACATGTACGCCCACCCAGCATATGCAGTAAGAAACGACTCTCATCGGAAAAAAGTGAACCCTTGATGCAATGTTCCAGCGAACACGTTGTTTACACCAGGGACATCTTGCTGCTTTATGAGCTGGAAACAGATATATATGCCTGATGTGTCTTCTAGACGTGTATCCTGAACATACATTGACTACGTAATTCAGTCCTCATTTCACATAGCAATCTAATACTAGTATCCTTAGTTGTCTGTATTAACACCATGTTAATCTCCAATAATCACACAGAGCTCATAGCTCTGATATTTTGATAAAAACAATCCCTGATGAAGTACCATCAACAATTCATCAACAAAGTCTCAAAGGCATTAAAATCGAGGGCATGTATACAATTTTGTCAAGGTTGCTTTGTGAAAAGAGGTCAATATGTGAATCATTAATGATGTCAGCATGTGAATAATGATACTCAGCATTGGCTGGGCTTACAGTAGAGTCCTGGTTTTCCCTGGTAACCACTGTTGGCTTAACGATGTGCCTGAGTCCCATGAACGGTGCCTGACAATGCTCTATCATCTCGTATTGTTGTCTTACGGGTCTGCCAAATCTTGGAAGATCTTTAATATCATTGGCAGCCGTGAGCTTGTTCAGGAGTCCTGAAAGGATTGCGCCCAACTTGAAGTTCAAATTGTCTGAAAGACATTCCTGCATTGCTCATGCCAATAACTGGCCCGTGAAAGTCCGGGTTAGAATGACCCTTCAGTAACCCATGCTTGTCGTACAAGGCGACTAGCGGGATCCGGTGGTCAGGCTCGCTGGCTTGGTTGACACATGTCATCGGTTCCCAATTGCGCAGGTCGATGCTTATGCTGTTGATCACTGGATTGTCTGGTCCAGACTCGATTATTTACAGACCACCGCCATATAGCTGGAATATTGTTGAGTGCGGCGTAAAACTAAACTCACTCACTCATGCCAATAATTGGCTGTTGATCATTGTCTGGTCAAGAATCGATATTTACAGACCACCATCATATAGAATATTGTTAAACATCGAATCAACCCAACTTATATTTTCTGATCCAAACATCTAATTTTCACCGCGATTTGGACTTACCATGTTTCGTCGGATAATCACGTCTCAACCAAATATATTTTTCAGCTATGGTGGTCATATGAATATAATCGAGTCTGGACCACACAATCCAGTGACTGACATCATGAGCATCAAAGTACGACACGAATACGATGACGTGTTGACCAACAAAGTCAGCTAGCCTAACCACCCAATCCCATTAGTCGCCTCTTACAAGCATGGGTTGCTGAAGACAAACTAGTCTCAGAGACTGAATGTGTTCTTGCAATGACAGTTCGTATTTACAAGAAATCACAACAAAACCATGTTCATTAAATGCATACTTTATTCAATCATTACAAACTGCACAACCAACCAATCACTCGTCCATAACTTAAATAGTTCACACCGACACTTACGTACCCCTTTCACCAGTCTATGCACACACTTCAACAGGAAACAAGCAGCTGTACACATCGAGTGCAAGGATCCTACTTGTGGCAACGAAGACGTACGTCAGTGATACTATGGGTATAGTATGGGACAGATCAACATACAATGTTAAAAGCAGGGCTTAATGTACCAGAGCATCACACGGGAGGAAGCTCACAACGAGGGTTCTGGGGTTGGGTAGAACTACTGCATTCGCCATTTCCGTAACCTCCAAGAAGATCTGTTGTCCGGAATAACACGAATGGGCTACGAATGGAAACTACATTCGTGACATTCGTCACCACTCGTCCCTTTCCGTAACCTTCGGCTTGTCCCGGAATATCACGAGTTGGTCACGAATGCATTCGTGACGGACTCGTGTTATTCCGTGACAAGCCGAATAGCGATCTTCTTGGAGGTTACGGAAATGGGCACCACTCGCCCCTTTCCGTAACCTCCAAGAAGATCGCTATTCGGCTTGTCCCGGAATAACACGTTGTTCACGAATGGGTATTAGAATAACACGAGTGGGTTACGAATGGGATCTACTGTTTAACACGTACACATCACATTAGCCCAGGGTAACTGAGTACTTTACTTCAGATCACCGGACTGGAAAATGTATCAGCAATGTTAAATAAACTGATATTTATTTAGAAGCAGAAAATGAATGAATATGGTTTTATAGTGCAATATTCCAGCCATGTAACTATATCTTACATCAAGTGTTAGCTCCACAGACTGCCAACATGAGGATTAAACCCCTTCCTTCAGCAAGTCCAGCAAACACTCTCACCGTTAGGCTACCCAATTCCCTAAATGTTTGGGAGATATGAAACTATGGTATAGCCTAATACAGTGCATGTGGCTGTATGGGGAAACATAGGGTGGACGTAGTCCAAATGTTTCTATGCTAGGGTTTTGGAAATTATTGGGATGAAATTCTCTAAAGTGTTTGAGTAGCATGTGATATGGATGGAACTGCCATTATGGATCTGTAGAAAGCTGAATTTGCAAAGGTAGATATTCTTAGGTATTTTGTATCTAACTAAATCAGCAAATTAAACATAGTTCACATTTTACCATACTAAATCTCATAACAACAGATAGTATTTGCGATAAATAGTTATTGAATACCCCCAGGTCAATAGGTCAATGCCTAATGCATGAAGTAATTATTATCATGATGATAACGCTATACATAACATCATATACAAATGTCAGTCAAGATAATCATTAGCTACGTATATCAAATGATATAAAAGATGAATCAATGATACAAACATGAAAATGAACACACAGTTGCAATATTCGCAACTCTCTCAAGTGCTCTCCATCAAGAGCACTACTTTCCCCACAACTAATATTACAATACATGTTTCTCTCTCAAGTACTCTTCAACAAGAGTGTTACTTTCCCCACAACTGATATTACAATACATGTTACTCTCTCAAGTTATCTCCAACAAGAGTGCTACTTTCCCCACAACTTATATTACAATACATGTTACTCTCTCAAGTACTCTCCAACAAGAGTGCTACTTTCCCCACAACTTATATTACAATACATGTAACTCTCACCAGTATTCTCCAACAAGAGTGTTACTTTCCCCACAACTGATATTACAATACATGTAACTCTCACCAGTATTCTCCAACAAGTGTTATTTTCCTCACAACTGATATTACAATACATGTATCTCTCACCAGTACTCTCCGACAAGAGTGTTATTTTCCTAACAACTGATATTGAAATACGTATAAATTGACCCAGTACACTCCAACAAAGTGTTACTTTCCTCACAACTAATATTGAAATACATGTCACTCTCCCCAGTACTCTCCAACAATAGTGTTACTTGCCTCACAACTGATATTGCAGTATATGAAACTCTACCTAGTATTCTCTGACAATAAATACAAACTGATAAATACAAACAGTTAACTAAATTACCATACATGTACAATGTATTCTGTTAAATGGATAATATCCTGTTGAATGTGGGGAGTTAAAATCTGCCCATACCACTTTGAAGACAACAGCATTGCACATGTTTTCATGGAAGAGTTGGCGACCATGCACAATTGGACAATACGCTGCACATAAAGGATAACTGATAGCATGATGGACAATACATTATCTACAAAATGAATCATACAAAGGCTTCATAATCCTAAAATACAGTAAGGGACCGTTCATAATATATGGCTAGGGGTGGGGTTGATGATGATTTTTATGGATAAGCATGTACAATGTGACTGACCCCCCTTAAAATTTATGTACAAAATAAGTGACCCCCCTCTGCATATCATGTACAAAATCAATGACCCCCACCCCTACCCATATTTTGTAAGCCTAATTTTAAAATATTTTTATGTACAAAATTTATTACCCCCTAGTACACGTACAAAATTGATGACCCCCTACCTCCCCAGAACAAAATGGGTGACCCCCCTTAAAATCATTATCACCCCCACTAGCCATAAATTATGAACGGTCCCTAAACACGCTATTCAATTAAGGACTCAATGGTCCATGTAAACAAAACTGGAGATGGATGTTGCCCTTGACCAACCACAGAGTTGTGACTCGGTTAATATTTCTACAGCAGGTAACGCTGTGAGACAAGGACGGGAAGGTTGGAAAGATCAATGTATTATGACATTTGTGTGACAATACAAGACATTGGTAAGTTAAGTGTAAACAGTCAAATCCATCTGAATTAACAATATATTAGATCAAATTCATTAGCAATGAGACATCTTGTATCATTTATAAACTATCTTCAAAGTAATCATGTTTCAAATCGGTTCATTTTCTATAACACCGATCTTCATCCAAAATGCAAGATTTTTTTCAAATTTTGTAAATGATAGAATGAGCTATACAGAAGTTGGCAAAGTCATGAAGATGTCCCTACACTGATTGTCTGTTTTTAAATCACTGCACGAAGGTCGGATACCTATACTTTACCATGTCTTCCAGATGTGGAGAAAATATGACTTCGGGTTCTTCTTTTTTGGCTTGGTTTCTAAGTCAGGTACCAACTTTTTTCCATCTACAATTCTTACTTTTCTGTAAAACTATGCTAACCCCTGGCTCAATTCCTGTGGTTCTCACAAACTAAAAATTATTTGCCCTTGATTTTTATTACCAAATTTGATTTGCTACACTACTCTGTCTAACAGACCAATCAGAATGAGAGTTTCAAAACAGCTCAATTTTGGGTCTGCAGTATCAACGACATGGTGACCAGTCTGATTCATAAACATTGAGAAAGGCAGAAATTCAACACTGAAGACTTACTGACATGCACAATAAAGCCCTAAATAATCTTTTAGAAGGAAAGGATGTCTCTGTGTCCTTCAATACTAACAGTTGCAAGTTCTCCCTTCCCCATTTCCTTTCCCCTTACCGAGACATTTGATTGGCTGAAAAAGTTACTGAAAATCAAGGACAGACAATTTGAGATTTCAAGAACCAAGGAAATGGATCAAGGCAAGTTTAGGAAGGTTTACCATAATTGGCCATGAGATATACAAGATAACATTTACGTGAAATAGTACTACTAGTATTAACATCCCATCAGTGTACATGTTATAACCCTAGCTTTACTGTAACACCCTGCACCCGCCATCACAAAACACAAAGCTAGACATAATTCTCACAGAGACCACTGGATTATGAGCGAGAAGAAAATGAACATTTACTACCTAATTCAGTCCTCATTTCACATAGCAATTATATATCTTTATTTGTATATCATCTAATCTCAATATAGTTGTGTGTATTAACACCATGTTAATCTCCAATAATCACACAGGACTGATAGCACTGATATCAATTTTGATAAAAACAATCCCTGATGAAGTACCATAAACAATTCATCCACAAAATTTAATGGCATTAAAATCAAGGGTCTGTGTGCAATATTGTCAAGGTTGATTTGTGAAATGAGGTCAGTATGTGAATAATGATACTCAGCATTATCTGGGTCATCTAGAAATCATCATCATCATCATCATCATCATCATCACAGAGACTGGCAACATCTACATATAGTAATAACGCATACTAGTCTAAACTTCTCCTTCTCGATCCTTCAGTACAAAATATCCATGTTCTACTATATGACAATGACGCTATGCCAATGTGATACAATCTTGCTAATGATAAAATGGAAGATGGTCAACAACTCAAGCCACAAATGCGCTTATGTTCACTGGAAGTCAAGAGATGAATTCTTTTAGTTCTAAATTGAGTGAGTTAAAGTCAAATCTGGATGTTTTGACACTGAACACAAGGGGCTAACTGTAACAACCTAACATTCTTTCATCCAAACTTCTTCAAATTTTCATATTAGAATTCATGACCGTTTCATACATCTACATATGAAATGTAGAAAGCTTCTAAATCTTTTGTAGAAATCTCTCAAAAGCTCCTAGATGACTAGAAAGAAATTATGATTTCAACATGCTATAACAGTCTTCCAAATGTGGTTCTGGCTTGTTCATTGGATCCCAAAAGAGTCAAGCCATGTTTATCAAGAGAAAATATCGTGCCCTGAAACACTGTCTTACATACATCCATCCTAGATATTGCCCAATGTTTGGCAAAGTCTTTCATACAAGCACTTTGCAACAGTACTATAGCAGGTCTTTTCCATCTAAACACCATGAGAATAGGATGAGAAACAGGCTAGACAGTTATCAGGATGAGAAACAGGCTAGACAGTTATCAGGATGAGAAACAGGTTAGACAGTTATCAGGATGAGAAACAGGTTAGACAGTTATCAGGATGAGAAACAGGCTAGACAATCATCAGGATGAGAAACAGGCTTGACAATTATCAGGATGAGAAACAGGCTAGACAGTTATCAGGATGAGAAACAGGCTAGACAGTTATCAGGATGAGAAACAGGCTAGACAATTATCAGGATGAGAAACAGGCTAGACAGTTATCAGGATGAGAAACAGGCTAGACAATCATCAGGATGAGAAACAGGCTAGACAGTTATCAGGATGAGAAACAGGCTAGACAGTCATCAGGATGAGAAACAGGCTAGACAGTTATCAGGATGAGAAACAGGCTAGACAGTTATCAGGATGAGAAACAGGCTAGACAGTTATCAGGATGAGAAACAGGCTAGACAGTTATCAGGATGAGAAACAGGCTAGACAGTTATCAGGATGAGAAACAGGCTAGACAATCATCAGAATGAGAAACAGGCTTGACAATCATCAGGATGAGAAACAGGCTAGACAATCATCAGGATGAGAAACAGGCTAGACAATCATCAGGATGAGAAACAGGCTAGACAGTTATCAGCTGATAACAACCGCATGACTCCCAATTGTACTTATGCATTGTTTAACCTTACTATGATAAGCATGAAGGCATAACCTAGTTAGTATACACTGAGTTAATCTCGAGCGCGTGATACAAGAGGGAGATATCCGTATAACGTACTACTGGTCTAGTCATTATCCCCTACATCCAGTATTTGTTATAATGCTAGTGTGTCTTTCAGGAACTTCCTCATGGTGGTGCCGACTGATGCTGATGCTGCTGGACCCGTCGTCTGGTGCGATATCTGAAATAACATCCCGCTGTCAGTATATATGTGTTTAACATGCATTCAGACTGTATTGCAGTTACTGTCAATTGTTTGTTCATTGTTGAACGCCACACTCAGCATATGGAGGTATTCTGTAAATATTCTAGTCTGGACCAGCCGATCCAGTGATCAACATCATGAGCATCAATGTACGCAATTGGGATATGATGATATGTGTCAGCGAGGCTGACCACCCGATCCTGTTAGTTGCCTCTTACGACAAGCATGGGTTGCTGAAGACCAGTTCACAGGTTGACAGTCAACACTACATCACAGGTGTGTATAGGCACATTAGGATAAGACACTGTGAGCGAGTGAGCAATATTCCAGCAATATCACAGTGGGGGACACAAGAAACGGGCTCTACACATTGAACACGTGGGGAATCGAACCGGATCTTCGGTGTGATGAGCAAACGCTTTAACCTCTAAGCTACCCCACTGCCCCTAAAACACTGTGATAGTTTCAATGCCTTACAAGTATGTACAAGTTCATGGAGCAGTGTGATATAACAAATCTGATCACCATACTCACCCTGTAGAGATATGGCTGCACATCGAAATGCACGGTGTCAAAGATGAGATCGAGATCTGACTGGTTTGGCATCTTGGGGACGTATTCATGTCTGTTCATGGTGTCGGCCACGTACATGACCTTCTCTGCGAGCACCTCACCCAGCCTCTCTCGGCACACCTGACGCTCTGCATGAGACATAATTAGAAATTGGGCTTGTGGTTCTCAGTAAAGAACAAACAGTAAGTGCATGATTTTTTCAAAAACCTAAAGATGTAGAACCAAACTTGAGATGGGTTGCATCCCTTGGAATAGAATAGTGCTGGAAGCAGTAGAATCCAAGTAGTCTGTCTCAGCATAAACCTTACTATAATGTTAAGACTCGAAATGAAGCAAGTCTAGATTTTCCGCAGGTTCTGAATTCCTAATCTTCCTTGGGCTCAACTAAAATGGAGTTGTTTGTTATAATTAAAATTAATTATTTTCAGAGACTAAGAGTAAGTCTAGGGCTAAAGTTGCAGGCAAATGTAATACATAATGTTTACACTATTGGTACTGGGAAATAGTGCTTCAGTTGAAGAGGAACACTTTTTATGGATAGATGACTCCTTTATTGCAATAGATGCGACGTTTCAGTGTAGATCCTATCACTGCATCTATTTCAATAAAGAAGTTGTCTGTCCATAAAGAGTGTTCCTCTTCATCATACCAGCGTCTAAATGCCACTTAAGGAAATACTTTACTTGTACCCCTCCGAAACTACAGTGTCTCATGATCAAAAGAAATACTGGTAGTCCTGTTATTCAGTACCAAGACAAGGTTTCAAATGATGGGGGCGCGGTGGGCAAGCTGTGTAAGGCGCCAGGCTAGTAATCCATCGAGCTTGGAAGTGCCGGTATCGAGCCCACATGTGACCGGGTGTAAAAAAACTTGAAGTCAACTTTGTGTGCAGACTCTTTCAGTGTTGTCACAACCCCTAGTGTACAGTACACAACCTTGTGCACTTAAAAGAACCCACGAATCCGTTGGTAGTTGACCAGATGGTGGCCACATGAATACATGCCAACACCTAGTTGCAGGTACAGCAACGTGCAGTGAACTTGGACAAAGTACTGTGACTAGGTGTCCCAGTCCACCCAGCTGTGAATGGGTACCTCGTAAGGATGGGAAAGCCACATTAACTCGGTGCGCCTAGTAGGCAGCAAGAGTTGCATGATCCCCAGGGAGTTGAGATTGAAAATACAATATCCAATGATCGAGGGAAAACAAAGCGTCTTTGAGCAGTTGTACTAGATATCGGTGCTTTACAAATGTTTGTAGGTAGGTAGGTAGGTAGGTAGGTAGGTAGGTAGGTAGGTAGGTAGGTAGGTAGGTAGGTAGGTAGGTAGGTAGGGTAGGTAGGTATGACAAAACAAATGCACCATTACAAATTTAGAATGTAAACCATTTAGCAACTTCATATGTGTGAGTGGGGCATTTGTGTTTAACATTGTTTTGAACATTATTTCTGAAGCATCATCATCAGTATCAACTTGATGTTGGAGGAACATCAAAGGTGATACAGATGTTTCACTGATGTTACCAAGACACTGATGTTACCAAGGATCATAAACATAGATTCAAACCCATTATCATTGGATCCTGGCATGGTCAAGGGATGCAACTCTGTACAAGACTTGCTGCACCTTAAAATAGTTAGCCACTAATTCCCTCTCTTTATACATGAGGAAACAACCAACCATGTTCATTGGCCAGAGTAATGATGTCCAGCTTGACCGTCCACACTTCCCAGGGGATACACTCTGCTTGGAAGGGCCAGCGTGCTCGCTTCTTCTGGTAGAACTCCAGGGATATCTGGAAAAGTAAACGTGATCACATCTACACTTTATATGTGGCCAACATGAAATCATTATTTGATTTTGAAAAATGTTAAAACTATGATGACATAGGCATTGGCATTTTAGAAGATGATATTTGAAACATAACTTTTTTGAACATGCTTAACTGACAACGAGTTTGGTTTTATCATCACTGAACAGTAACTGTTATCTTTGGCCGCAATATTCCAGCAACATCACGGTTATGGACACCAGAAATGGGCTTCACAGATTGTGCCCATGTACATGTTATTATGAACGAACTGCAAAATAAATGGATCAATTTAGAACTGTGCAGATACATATGATGACATAGGCATATTTTTTACATTTCTTTTAAAAAAACTTCATGAACATGTTTAACACTGTCAGTGAGTGCTGTTATTTTAACCATTGCCGAATTAATCTGGACCTGCTCACATGACTATCTTCACCCCAAAGTCTGCAGTAGATTCCAGGAAATATTCCCATGTCAACTAAACTTCATGTAAAAATGGTTTCCAGCATGTTGTGTGATGACTTAGTCATGAAGTAATCTACAGGTATCCGGACCAGTAACAAGGAAGAGCCCTGAATCCATTGTGTTGAATAACGGCACTGAATTCTAAGGTACAATACAATGCAAAAAATGTTAAAACATCACTGAAATATGAATTAGAACATAATAACAATAGTGTCCTAATCTACATTCCAAAGGCCCACAGACTTGGCTGTCACATGTCATCTTATCCCAGTTGCATAGAGAGATGCTTATGAGGTCAACTGCAGGGTTGTCTGGGCCACAGGTGAGGTGAGGTGAGGTGAGATTGGGTTTATCGTCGTGCTTGAGAATATTTCGCTCATAAAACACGCGCATGCAACGTATGTATATGTGCGGCTGCTTGTACTAGCCCAGACTGAAGCTGGTTTTATAGTGCTAGCCCACTGAGATATCATGCCGCAGTGAAGCATGAATACCCCACTCAGACACATTATACTGACTCCGAGCCGACCAGTCCTTGTTGTACCCATTAATGCCGAGCGCCAGGCAGGGACCAACAAGTACCATATTTTAACGTCTTTTGGTATGACGCGGTCGGGGATCGAACCCACGACCTTCCGATATCTGGGTGGACGCTCTAACCACTACACCACGGAGGCGGTTGGTCCACACTTTAATGTTGATTTAGTTTAGATTCCTAGACTAGTCCCTGTGTCTCTCTAACCAGGAGTACTGAAGAGCAAGTGTTTCATTCCATGGAGACCATGAATATCCAGGTAAGAATTGGTCTTCAGCTGCCATACAGCTGGAATATTGCGTTACACAACATGCTGTTGATCAGTGGATTCTCAATTATTTACAGACCACCGCCATATAGCTGGAATATTACTGAGTGCAGTGTTAAACAGCAAACCAAGTACCAAACAAACAACCGGGCAGTATCATCAAACATCAACCCACCTGGCCAGATCCCACTTATTTGGACCGCCATGGCTACGAGAGAGTGTCTCGAACATGCTGACTTCCCTGGCGCAGATTCTGGTCCAGTTCTTCAGACGCTACACGGACCTGGAAATATATTCACGGACAAAACAGTAAATACATAATTGACATAAATATGAAGACACAAGCCCTAGCAACTCCATTATCAGCCAATCAAGAAACAGTCAACAGTCAATATTTTGTAACAGAAATGCAAAACCAGTTGCTTGGTTAGGCAATCTAATCCCAGGGAATCACTTGCAATATGTTCATAGGAATATATTTACAGTATCTCATCATGTTCTTAATTCCACAAGTTGCATGTATATATTTTGAACAGTTGAAATTGAATATTATTAACGATGATGAAAATGAATATATGATTCCTATTTCATGGCTCTGATGAAGCTCATCAGTTTGATAATCATTATGCTGACAAAGCAGGGGTGGAAATAACTTTAAAATTGCTAGTGTAGTGTACAGTGGCACATGTAAAATCACTTGCCCTGATAATTTTACCATTATACCGTCTGTTTTCTTGTTGATTTTTTAAATAAACAACATAATTAACGTTGGAAAGTCAACTGGACACCGGTACAGTGTGATATATAAATTTGCTTGCCCAACAGAAAAAAGTCACTGGACTCGGACGTCGGGCAATGGGTTATTTCCACCCCTGCAAAGCAAGGATCATGATCTGGCATTTAAACTCAGGATCACCAGATCCTGGTACCGAAGGCAGGCAACACTGCACAGTAAATTGTAATGTCTGTTTTCGTAGTACAAACATTTCAACAAAACATGACACTGAATAAGGCCTAACAAAAAATGTTGTGGTTCCAACTACCAGACTGACGCTTGAATTTTTTTAACGACCCTAGTTTTTTTGACGAGGTATGAATAAAATAAGCTTTCACATACCATTGTTTTTTCCCGGCACCAATCTGTCATTCTGATAGAGAAAGTCGACATGATTGCCGCAAGCTTGATTGAATAAACAATTACACATTGATAAATATGTTATTAGTTCGTACCTTACTTCTAAAAAAATATATATAAAAAAATTCCTTCCTACCTACCTACCCTAAATTTTAAAGAGGTGTGATTGGAACCACAACATTTTTTTTATTTGGCCTAAGCCGAATTGTTCAAAATACTAATAATAGATATGAAGATGATACAATGATGACTTGCTATTCAGTGTATCTGCCAGACTTACATATGTGAAATCTATGTAGTCACAGTCGACGTCCATGATTCCAACAGTTCCGATGGAGTAGCTTCCCTCCTGCTTGTAATGGAACTGAAAAAAATATGTTACCAGGTCACACTCAGTATTGTTATCATTATGTTTGTTATTTAATCACTGGTAAATAATGGGACCAAGACATAATCTCTATTTACTCCAACCAAGGCTTCAACTACTTCCACGACTTGCTTAAAGCCACACTCAGCAATATTCCAGCTATATGACGGCAGTCTGTAGGTAATGGAGTCTGGACCAGACAATCCAGTGATCAACACCATAAGCATTGATCTTTGCAATTGGGATACGATGACATGTGTCAACCAAGTCAGCGAGACTGACCACCTGATCCCGTTAGTTGGCTCTAATTCCATTTCCAACCCGGATCTTCACGGGTAAAAAACGGACAAGATAATACAGTAGTTCTTGCTATACACACCAGTGGATTTTGCAGAGTTCTTTTACAAAGTGTGCTGACAGAACTGAAATGGTTTCTATAGAATTATATGTTCACACCATGTGCACGCATGCGTTTTTGTTTTAAAAGCCTTTTGAAGACTAAGATGTCAGTTCCAGAACTTTCTAAGGCCTGTGCAAGGCTAATTTTGTAACTAAAATCATTTATGCATACAATACTATTTCCTTAAACATTTTAACATCTCTGCTGATAATGCTCACCTTTCCAAGTGTCCGATGCATAAGCAGTGTGTGGAAAATACCTGAAAACAGTCACAAGACGATATTACACAGGTAGCAAGCAATATGGCAGACTGTTGCCATGGTGACTTGTATTCTCAAGAAAAATAATTATGCATGTTATCAATGGTCATGTAGGTGCAACATGCATCTATTCAATGTGCATTCACAACATGTGTCATGTAAAGACAGAGCCTAGTTCACATGATGCCCTGTTGCACTTTATTAAAAAATGGCTGTTTTGCAACAAATCACTTTTACCTGATACATGTTTTGCGGTGATTGTTAATTTTGAACAGAATCATTTGTTAATCTCCACGTGAAATATGAATTAACACAATGGGAGATGATGCGAAAAACGCCATGAAAAAAATTAAAATTCACAAAAACATGACACAACATGAAATTCCCTACTAGACATTTCCACTTTATCTTCTGTGCTGTCAGTGTATGGTTGGACCATCCAGATCAGCACACCTAGTGGGTTAGTGGAGGGAAGATAATCACCACCTTAAATGAGGCTTTAATAATCCTCAGTCAGGTTACTGGGATTATGTCATTTTTATGTTTCAACGATCATAATAGTCATCATATGATGAACATCATAAGCATGGTAAACATGGTAAATGGTCGTATACTTACTCTGTACAACCTCCTCGATCTGTCGTCCTTCCACAGACTGGAACAGAAAGGATGATGTTACCATAAAAGAAGACTCCACAGAAGTGATCAGTAGTGTGTGAGTTAGGATTGGCTGTTGATTGACTGACTGAGTTTGGTTTTACGCCGCTTTTAGTAATATTCCAGCAACATCACGGCGGGGGACACCAGAAATGGGCTTCACACATTGTACCCATGTGGGGATTCGAACCCGGATCTTCGGCGCTGACGGCTACCCAAGAGATAGAAGCGTTAAGTGGATTAACCACTAGGCTACCCCACCGACCTGGCTGTTGATTGAAATCATAGAGATAAATAATCGTTAAGTGGATATTGATCGGTTATCTATGAATATCAGAAAAGTAACTTTGAGCAAAAATGCCAAAAATATCTAAAAGAAATCAACATATTTCACATCACTGGTAGGTGATTACTAGGATCACTAACTAAAGACACAACAAGCAAGCAGGACACTATGACCCATTCAAACAGATCAAAAACCAAAATCCATAATGGCATGTTTCATATGCAAATATCTTTTTATGAATACACAATGCCATTTAGAAAGTGGTCAAATGTAACATATGTTATATTTGGGATTTCAGTAAAGTACAGATTCTAGTACTTTTGTTGGGTCAGGCACCTAATCGCCAACACACAAAGTCAGCTGCCTAACCCTCTCAGCCACTGCTGTTTCCACAAAGGTGTGGGTTCGAATCCCAGATGGGACTCAACCCAACAAAAATACTAGATTCTGTACTTTACTAAGAAAGTGTAATCCCAAATAGATGATCAAATCTCTTGATGATTCAGGTAGGACTACATGGGCTACAAATATAAAAAATATCTTATTTACATTTGGTTTTGGGTTTGTATGGCTCTCACAGGATGTCGGTGATAGCAAGGTATTTATGCAGCAGTTTAACCTTCGGCTTTCTGATAATCTCAAACAATCATGGTCTGCCACTATTCATAACCTTTCAGATTCATTTCCTTACAAACATTTTAAATCATTACTGCATGTAGAAAGATACCTATCATTTTCTATCTCTCCTTCTTAAAAATCTCTTCTAGCAAAGTTCAGGTGTAGCAATTTTGGGTTAGGTATAGAGGTAGAAAGATAAAATAACATACCAATGGCTGACAGAGTCTGTTTTTACTGTAAACTAGATAATATTAACTGTTTTGAAGATGAAACACCTGTCCTCTTTGATTGTATATTATATAATGATGCTAGAAATAGGTTTATTGCTCCATTCTTGTATAATACTGCCATCAAACAAAACTTAATACACATCCTTAACAGTAAAGACAAAAATATTATCATAAATGTTTGAATTTTTTTAAATGTATACATAAAACTAGAGCTGCAACTGTCAAAACATAAACCTGTCACTTTTATGTGCCCTTATTCCAACTCTGTAATTTATGTGTATTATGGGCCTTTGGCCTCTATACTGAATAAATTATCTGTCTGTCTGTAATCCTAAACAAAACCATAATAACATATGTTAAATATTTTTTGTTTGCAATTTCTGGTACTGATTCCAAAATGTTCATGACAGCTGTTACCAATTCATGACAGGTGACTGCTGTCTGTTGCAATTGATTTAAACATATGTTCTTCCAAAATCAATGAATGAAAAACCTACTCTGCATGTATGTTCATGTGTGTAAAACATGTATCTTCAATTCTATGAAGGTAATTTGTTCGACAATGGTGAAAAAGTCTCTATATGCCTGACAAGCATGAAGAACTCAGTACTTTGCCCCAGAGTACCAAAAAAAGAAAATGCAGCTATACTCAATGAAAGGTCAACCTGTTTACATTATTCCAGAGTATTGACAATATTGATAACTGCTGCTCTTTCCCCGACTGTTTACTCTACAACAAAGCCTGCACACTGACTGAAATTGTCAATATGTAAACTGTAAAAATCATACATCTTTATCTAAGAGGCACAACAGTTTGCTAACTAGAATGTCAAAAGGGTTCAGCAAGTTCAAAGGGCTGAGATAGGAAAGGCCAGTGAGATAAGTGAATCCAGAGACAATCAGCAAGATAATAAATGAAAGCATCTGCACACTTCTTGCTTTACTCATAATTGTGTACAGTAAGAGATTAGTTGGAAGTCTCTACATACTAAAATAAATAGTTACGTAAATCAGAAAACATTTCCAGTTTTGAGATTAAAGATCCATTTTTCTAGAGCAATGTGGACCTATTGTGTGTATTTGGAGCACATATGTGTACCATGTTGTACCATGTTGTACCATATCATGACACATTCCACCATACACTACATCAGTACCAAGTATGCTGATGACATAGGTTCCCCTGAAACAAAGTAATTACCACTAATACCAGCCTGGACTGTTCAGTATCACCAGGGATTGGCATATACATCAAACAAAGTACAATATTATATCCATGTAATGTACCTTTTAATAACAACAGCAATAAACTCTATATAGTAACACAACCATTTATTAATTTTTGCCTTAGTTCTACAATATGAGAGAAATCCCGCTGGCTTTTACCAATATTTTACCTGACTGAGCAGGTTGAGTTAAATCTAGTGTATGCATGATCAAATGGTTTAATAAATGCATTTGTATTATCCTTTCCCAGGGCAGCAGTAAAACCAGTCCCATTTGGACATGTTGGTAGCCAATACTCTTGACCCATAGTGGGTTCCAGTGGGAACTGATCACTCCCAGTTGGACATGGCGTGTTACTGATGTCCTGTAGAATTCCAAACTGTTTACGTTGGTAACTTCTCACAGCATTACTGCAATGTTTACTTCGACTTGTGGACCGCCTCCGTGGTGTAGTGGTTAGAGCGTCCGCCCGGAGAGCGGAAGGTCGCGGGTTCGATCCCCGACCGCGTCATACTAAAAGACGTTCAAATATGGTACTTGTTGGTCCCTGTCTGGCGCTCGGCATTAATGGGTACAACAAGGACTGGTCAGCTCGGAGTCAGTATAATGTGTCTGAGTGGGGTATTCATGCTTCACTGCGGCATGGTATCTCAGTGAGTTAGCACTATAAAACCAGCTTCAGTCTGGGCTAGTACAAGCAGCCACACATACACATACACATGCATGCACGTCGTCATATGAGCGAAATATTCTCAAGCACGACGTTAAACCCAATTTCACCTCACCTCACCTCACCTCACTTCGACTTGTGACGGACTGTCTTTAAATCCGCTGTTGTACAATGTTGTACAGCATGTTACGCGGCCTGAGTGGTTGGAGATATTCCTGCCCTCGGTATCAATACCTGCCTGCTGATAAAATTTCAGCATTACTTAAATTGGTCCTTCCGCCGAATCCAAAGAATACACATTGGATTCCCACATTTTCCGTTCGTCCGCTTCTGTTACTGGGTCACAAGGTTTCTTGTCAACGCAGACACCTTTTGCCGTTAATTTTTTCATTTTGTGCACATCCAATGTCTTACGAAATTCGGCAAAAGTAGGATCGTCCTCCTTATAAAAGTTGATATCTGGTCTGCCAAGGTCTTGCCGAAGGTATCTCTGTAACGCCGATACGATCTGTGTCAACGTGTTTGGGGGATACGGCGATTTGTTCTTTCTCCGTATTTCAAGAATGAAACGTTGCATGCACAAATCAAGGTTGCGGTTATTCGACGCAGAAATATCCTCTGGAATGTTTGATATCATAGGATGATAGGGGTGGGGCGAAACGACCGTCACTTTGCTCATGTTATACAAAATCTTGAGATGGAATAGACAGCAACTGGGTTAGACTTGGAGTTTGTGTACATTCAAAGTCAGTATTGCTGAAAAGTTCGTCGAACAACAAATCAAAATTCACGAAATCGGACTGCTCGTTCATGGCTCTCCACTTTGGCGCTCACATTTGAAATTGTGAGGTAAAGAAATCACATAGGATATGACCTTGCTAGTGACATCACTTCATAACTGTCAATCAAAAGTAGGTTCTAAGTCAGTTAGAATCTATGTAGATAAATCTTAGTGGCTAAGAAGTGGCTCGCTCGCTCCACCCCTTCTTAACCACTAAAATTTCTCTACATAGATTCTAACTATTACTTAGGAGACCATACTCATATGATGCAATGAGAAATTGATGCACTAAATAAAATGCCTTCATAAGGAGAAATATATACAAGGATATTATATCTATATCTGCATTCAACAAAATGAAACATTATTTCATCGACACATTTTCAGTTTGTAGGAATGTTACACACGATCACCATACTACGAGCAAGTGTCCAACACAATCAATGATATTATCTGTTTTCGATTGCTATGTTGGAAGTGTTTTGTGCTATGCATCTAAAGTATGGGGCTCTCATAAGGCTGAAAACACTGACAGATTACATTTGGATTATTGAAAGCGGTCATTGGGTGTCAAAAAATCAACTTGTAATTGTATGGTTTATGACGAACTTGGTCATTATCCCTTGCGCTACAAACAGATGTTCAATACTGTCAAGTACTGGAGTAAGCTGCTAGGAACTGATAACTATATTCTACATGGGGGTTATGAATATCTACATGATGAGGTGGAAACAAATAATGTTCAGAACTGGGCCTTTCAGGTTAAGACTATATTGACAACTCTGTGTTTTGGTGATATATGGTATAAGCAAGAATTGAATGTCTCTTATCATTAAACAAAGACTTATTGGTCACGCTTTCCAGTGTATTGGAAGTCAGTTGTCCAGTTTTACTAAGTGTAAATTGCATAAACATATTATTGATACTTTTACTTTGCAATATTATCTTCAAAAATCAATTCCTACAATTTATACAAAATATTTGTCTAAATTTCGACTATATTTTCATGTTCACAACCGATTAGCTGTACAACTATAGGTAAATAAAGAATTGAACTGAACTGAGTTAAAACTATTTTAGAAAACATGTAGTCTAATCCAATGCAAGCTGATCCCTTAATTAATGAACTTAGACTCTCCCAGTGTGTTAGCATGGTCTGAAATTCGACTGATTAGCCCAGAACCACTCAAGCATGATTCGACAGATGGGCACTGCTGACTGTTCAAAATTCGACGGATTAGGCCGTAATCATAGATGCCCTGTCCAAACTTATGACCTAGTGCCAATTAGAGGTTGGCATGTATTGGAGGTTCAGGGATTAAAAGAGGAAATATCACAGGACATTACAAAATCGTCAGTGTGGAGTCTCAGACTGTTAAAAGTAAGACTACCTTTTCCTCGTAAGGTAATAAAATGCATGAGGTTGAATGTCGTCACTTATTTTCAACCAACTCTTTCTCTAATCTGATTGATTGATAATTAAGCATTCTCTGTGACTCATGTAACCTACGGGATTTCAAAAGTTAAAAACAGACTCACTAATTATAATCTCCGAAACATACACAAAAATCACAAACAGTTGATATTCCACCTCAAGTCCTAGATGGGTACAAGAGATACTCACCAGCTCAAACACCTGAGACCTTGCATTCATTCTCCACAAATTCTCTTCTGCGACTTTATATGATATATCGATCACGTATCATAATCGTGTAAACCCAAAACACTAACGCCACTCCTGTTCAAAATTAGTTCGCTCTGACGGAGCTACTGAGATGTCCTTTGGCTTTGCAGTTGTTGGGTTTGGCAATAAACGGATGTTTCTCGCTATCTCCTGGGCTAAATACCCATTCAGGCTTCCGTCTTCTTGTTAGACCATCGTCATCGAGATATTTTCATTCCGTCGGACATTCAGTGATGACTGTTAAGCTGAGTAAAATTTAATTATAGAAGACAAAAGTATGTTTGTAAACACTGGTAAACAGATGATTTTGCGTCACAAATGAAAACATTTTGACTTCCTCTAAGGGCCGTAACTCTAGATGACTGCTTGCTGGGCGTGTTTGTTTGTGGAGCAATCGGTTTTCTCATCTGATTCGGACAGCATTTTATTATGTGTTTCGTGTAGCCACTGTGGTCTAAAGGTTTGAAATAATAAAAAAAAAAGACACAAGACTTTTAAAATCTTGCTTTAGTTGTATCTACAACAGCAAAGAAGACATAAGCATCCGTGACTTTATAAGACGAGTATATGGATGGCAACTTCTTCTATATTGTATAACACCAGGGAGACTATAAGACATAGATTATCCCTGATAACACTAATTCGCAATAATCTCATCTGTGACTTTGATTCAGGAGTGCCCATGAGAAGTCTGCATCTGAAAAAAACAAAAGATCAAACATATGTCATAATGACGAGGTTCTTTTACAAAACGTGGACAGCCTAGTGCTATTATATCATATCACTTTATTTGCACAAATATAGGCCATCGGCCCATGGTACAATATTGGTCCATATAAAATAGATAAATAAATCACACAATATCAAACAATGATGCATCATCAAACCATACTTAAAGCAATCATATTGTTTGTTATGAACTTCTAAAGAAATTAGATGGTACGGGTGATATAAACTGGGTCTCATCTGTACGTGAATTATTGTTTCAATGTGGATTTGGCCATGTATGGATCGCACAAGATGTTGGCGACAGTGATTCTTTTGAAAAAATGTTCAAACAACGATGTAAAGATATATACCAGCAGGAATAATTCCATGACGTCCGTTCTTCAAGTAGTATTAGTTATTATGCTGAGTTTAAATCCTTTATCAAACCTGAATTATATCTATCGTCTCTAACATCTATCCATCTACGCAGAAATTGTAACTATGTTCAGATGTAATGGCCATGATTTTAAGATAAAAGCTGCAAGGTTTTCTAAACACCCGTATGATCAAATTACCACTTGTGATCATTGTAACCTCACAGAGGATGAATACCATATACTTTTAGAATGTCCTCAATATTCATGTTTAAGATATAAATACTTACCTTTATATCTATGTAGACAACCATCAAAAGAAAAGTTTATTGCTGTTTTAACAACGAATGACGTGCAACTTCTCTACAAGTTAGCCTTATTACTATACCATATAAATCGCAATAGATCAAATCGGCAATAACTGTATGTGTCACTTAACATTGCCTATCTATGGTATGCTATTTACGTCGTATTGCATGGTAGCGCTGTCATTGTGTACATTACAATATATTTACATTGTACTGTTGGCCTCCAGGCCATATATACAAATAAAATCTGTCTGTCTGTCTGCAATCATATTGCATAGATGTATATGTAGCATTATTAATTTTTTTTTAATTATTGTTTTTATAGTTATGTTGCAAAATGCCAATCTCAGGCGCATTCCATAGTATATGAATGCAGCAACATTTCTAGTGACATGGTGGTGCAAATAATTACATTGATTGAATTGTATTGTTCGATATGCTTACGGTTTTTAAATCATTTAATCGTTTAAACATCAACTGACAATGATTACACAGTGGCAGCCGAGGTGGCTGACTTCATTAGACGGCTGACTTTGTGTGTTGGCGATTAAGTGCCTGACTCTGAGAGTGAAGGTCCGAATTCCGGACGAGACTCAACCAAACAAAAGTACTAGAAGTACTAGTTTGCTGAGAAAGTGTAATTATAACATATCTGTTACATTAACTAACAACTGAGATTTTATAAATAATATTACCTAAGTGTTGAATTATTACCCTCATTACAACGTCTCGGTTTCACACAAGACACTCAGTCATCACTTGACCTGCACTGAAAACGGACAGCACCCTAGTTGCAGTGCGAGTGAGTGAGGTTTGTTTTACGTCGCTTTAGCAATATTCCAGCAATATCACGGCGGAGGACACCACGAATGGGCTTTACACATTGTGTCCATGTTGAGAATTGAAACCACGTCATCTGCGTGATGGGGCTACCCCACCGCCCCCGTCCCGACTAACCAACATCCTGATTACATATTTGTCGAAGTGGAGTGTGATATTTCATGACTGACGTGGATTTTTATTCTATAACAGCTGCTTACGTGTGTTGTGACCTTAAATGCAGAATGGGCTTAAGTGCAGAATATTCATGATTACTCTACACATTAAGCCCATTCTACATTTAAGGTCACAACATACGTGTACAGATATCGTCAAATTGTAGAGAGTAAATGAGTGAATTTAGTTTTACGCCGCACTCAGCAATATTCCAGCTTTATGGCGGCGGTCTGTAAATAATCGAGTCTGGACCAGTCAATCTTTTGATCAACAGCATGAACATCGATCTGCGCAATTGGGAACCGATGACATGTGTCAACCAAGCCAGTGAGTCTGAACACCCGATCCCGTTAGTCGCCTCTTACGACAGGCATGGGTTATCAACTTGTAGAGAGAGTGGGTGAACGACTAAATCAGATATATTGCAGCTCTAGCGAGGCAGACTCCTTGTAATCAACTCTGTATCTGACAAACCAGTGGTGGGCTAGAATGAACAAGAGAGTTACGTATCCAAAGCCCGGGTTTAATAGTCAATAAGGGTCCAATATATGGAGCCCATGTTAGTGTCCCCTGTCGTGATATTACTGGAACAGTTGGTGAAACTGCTTAAATATTTTGACTCACTCACTCATTTATCATATACATCTAGTCAATACAATGCAAGGATGCTCCTCTTGCAGCCCAAACCGATATATGCCAGTTTAATATTGATGTATTATTATTAATTCAAAATATATTCCATATTCTTTAACAGGGAGTCTATTAATCAAATGTGAATATAGTGCACCCTGTCTGTTTTGATTATCGATTATTTTGAAATGAGAATTGATAATGTTCCACTGATGGACGTAAATCTTCTATTATTATGATATTTCGCGATCGCACTGGGGCCAACATTAAAAAGAAAACTACAAAGTGCAAATGACAAAACTGCAAATGTCCACCTGATTTTATTCCTTGCTGTATCATGTCCACTAAGGTTGCTATTCTGACTGAGTTTGCTGTAACGCCGCTTTTAGCAAGACAACTAAGGAAATTGTGGGATTCGAACCCGGGTTTCGGAGAAATAAGAAACCTCTACACCCGAATATCATTGATAATGCAGAAATTGAAAGAGTGGACCATTACAAATATCTCGGCGTCATTTTAGATTCAAAACTTTCGTTTTCAAAACATATTGTTCACATTTACAATAAAGGCCAACAGCGACTTTATTTTCTTCGCCGCTTAAGAACTCTTCTATTGACAAACCATAATGGCCGTTTTTATCAAACCTTTATTCAAAGTGTGTTGACCTACAATTTTCTATGTTGGTATGGGAGTCTGTTAGATCATATACATAAAGGCGAGCACACCTTGGTATGTTGCAAAGTCGTCTAGTTATATGCTGGACTAGCGGGTCTGCTGCTCCCAACAGAAACAAACTTTTCAAAATTGTTAATACTGCCAGCAAAATTGCTGGAGTGTCTTTAGAGTATATTCCCTTTATCTATGAGCGCCAGATTGTCAAAAAGGCAACTAAAATGATAACTGATACCCCCTATGTTTTATCACACTATTTTGAACTACTTCCTTATGGAAGCCGCTTTCGACTACCTTTCCTCAAAACAAACAGAGCTCGACAGTCTTTCATACCATCCAGTACAATGTATTCGTGAATGCAACAAATCTTTCGAGTCATCATGCATGTGATAGAATTATTCAGCCTCTTTAGTTATGTGGGGGCGGTGGGCTACCCTAATGGTTAAAGCGTCCGCTTGTCACGCTGAAGACCCGCGTTCTATTCCCAACATAGGTACTGTACATTGTGTGAAGCCCATTTCTGGTGTCCCCCGCCGTGATATTGCTAAAAGCGGCGTAAAAACCATACTCACTCACTCACTCACTAAATACCTATGCGGTTGATTTATTGAATCATATCAGTACATGTGTACATGTGTGTAACCACTGTTACCAGCATTCGTTTTGTCCATGTAATTATTGTGTATAGTTTTGTGAATTGTGTATATATTCATTTTGAAACCGTTTTGATGCACAAAGAATTTCCTCCGGGGTAACATAGTTACCTCTTATCTTATCTTCAATGTAACTAACATAAAGCGCAGTACCAGGGACCCCCCGACTTAGACCTCAGGGGCGGATACAGCTTTTGAGAAGGGGTTGGGGGGTGGGGGGTGGGGTGTTTGGATACTATTGAAAAAGGAGGGTGCACACTTCATTTTCACCCGAGTTTCAATGGTCATTTAACAAACTTTCTGCACAAAGGGGCTGCGCACCCTGCACCCCCCCTCTGGATCCGCCTATGGACCTGAATGCTTCCCAAACACTATGTAGAATACATTTTTGTAACTGATAAATGTTTAGATTATATTTGATTAAAATTTGTAATAATTGCGCATACATTGATTGCAGTGTTTCGACAAAGTATATTTTAGTACGCAACTGCGTTTTGGCATAGCTTCACTTAATATTAATAACTTCCGGTTAACAATACACGTCGATTGACGTGCGATGTTTTCAATGGCTAACTATCCAGAATCTGGCTTGTGTAGCTCTTTGGGTCGATATTCTGAAATGGAGAATGCATTGTGTGCATGAGTTCAATTAATTTATAATTAGAAGCTGATATAACCAAAATTGCGTATTTGCACCGTAGTTGTAGCATTCTCCAAGCATTCGATTTCACAAAATCTTATCAATGGAATTATAGTGATGAATTATAGACGGACCTGAGTATTTTCAGCTGTATATATCCAGATGTAACTGCTTTGCCTCTTACTGCCATTCTCTTGTCGTTCATATCCGTGACACAATTTGAGTGATAATGAGGCGCCTTAATGTTGCAAGTAAGAGCAAGGCACTGAAAGTTGTGAAAGAACTTGATGCCTTTCCCAAAGTTCCAGAAAGTTACAAAGAAACAACAGCCACTGGTGGAGGATGTAAGTTTCAAATATTTTTCAGTTATTTTCTTCTGATTTTGTTTCACCTTACCATAATTTAATATAACAATTGGTGCATATATGCATTGTCTACTGACCTACATTATAGGAAGGCTAGATCTAAGGTGTTTGAGAAAATGGATATTCTTAGGTGGACTAGTCTTACACTTACCATGTTAGCTGATTCACATTTTTACTGATTGTGGATGCAATAAAACAAATAAATTAAATAAAATTTCCTTTTCAAGGTTTGTGCCATTAGTTTTTATATGAACTATACACAACAGCTGCCCAAAAGTCATTTGCCTATTTGCAGCCTCTTATTATAGTGTACACATTGTTACTGTTTTGGGATAATACCAAAACCAATAATTGCCTCTAGGTATTTAGGATAATCTTTTAACTGATTAGTTTATGTACACAAATTTTGATTTAGTAGAAAAGACAGTGTTTGAACTTGTTGAACTACTTAAGTCAGCATCCAAAAGATAATTATTTTCCAGTGAGAACTAGCTTATGACTCATTTCATGAGCACCAAAGGTATGTTTTTATACAGTTTGCTAGTGAACCACTCACCCCAAATATCGTTTTCCAGTTTCTTGACAGCCTTGTGTTCATAATTCATTTTATTTTCTTCCTTTCAGTATCTATATTCACCTTCATCATCATAGGAATTCTAGTGATCTCTGAAATCAAGTATTACACAGACACAGAGCTGAAATTCGATTATGAAGTAGACACAAATGTCACAGGGTAAGTTAAGCAAAAGATTTCTATGCCATATATGTCGTGTTGTTACAAGCTAAGCTTGAATGTCGAAGTCCTTGACCAGTGTTACCCATATTTTCTTACACCTTTGCAAGAGATATGGTTTTGTAAAATTTTATGTGACATTGTTTGTTCAATGGAATGGTTGGAGTATCCCATGCTTGTCATTGGCATTAGGTTATCACTGAGTGCTATCACTGTGCATTCGTAATGACTGTATTGCTGTTTTTATATATGTGGATATTCTACAAGCCATGTTTGGACTTCATTATCTTCCCTTGGTATGGTACTAGATATTTTCATCTCCATTATTGCCAAGAATCATAAACATGGCAAACCAATCCAATTTGCCGGAATGACACAGTGTAGTAATCACCGTGTGATTTCTAAAGCACCTGTACTAAATGGCGAGGCACCGTTGAAGTTTACCTTATCCTCCTTAATGCATTACTGCCTCAATGCAATTTACTGCTGTTGTTTCCCTGTTATTTGCAATAGCTTGATAAGTTGTTTATCCCTGTCATATGCTGCCTGCATCTAGCTGTGGTACTTTCAATGACATTATACACAATTCACATGGTTACCTACGTGAATTGTGATATGGTTTGTACAGATATAACACAGTGTTTAGCATTCCTTTTTGAGTGTGTAGCCTTTTGATTGCTGCTTTTAAGTCTTTTTGATCCAGTAGAAACAAGATATTGTTATTTTATGTGTATTATAAACAGGTTTTTTATTTTTCAGAAAAATCAAAATAAATGTTGACATGACAGTGGCCATGAAATGCAGTAGTAAGTATGCTTGTTCTGAAGTCATTGTGTTCAGACTAGGTGCTGGCATGGATAAGAATTATCATATGCGCAAGGTGTCAACCATTTTGTATGAAAACATGTAGTCCATTGTTGTTCTCTCCTTCTACAAGATGAAATCCTAAAATGCTAATTTGATTAGCATGTTTAAAAAATTAATTTCATTTGGTCATAGAGTTCTTGTCAAACTTGCATTGCAAATATGTGAAATGATAGATGATGATATGGCGTACTACTTCAGATCATGATGATACAATTACCATACATCAGTCTAACAAGGCTTTGGGCTTGTAATTATCATCACAATATTACATACATTACACGCTTTACCAAGAAATGACATATTATGAATTTGTTTTCCCTAATGTAAGAAACCTGAAAGTATATTATTTATTATTGGGGTATGAAACTCCCAAAAATTTCAGCTAGACCACAGGGCTGGTTAGATGTAAAACTTGCCAGCCCTGACCAAAACTTACCTGCCCACAAAAAATACTAAGATACATGTCTAAATTTTAACCCGACCGTTGGGAAGGTGAATTTGAAATCTGGCAGTCCGTGTTGAAAATAACCCGTCCCGGCAGTCGGGCAGGCAGGTATATCGAACGCTGCTATTAACACCTATTCTGTGGTTCATCTTCAGGCATTGGTGCTGATGTCCTTGACCTTACCGGACAAGATGTCAACAGCTATGGTAAACTTCTTGAGGAAGACGCCTATTTTGAGTTAACTCCAAACCAGCAGAAATACCACACATTTTTACAGGAAATAAACCGGTACCTTCAGGAGGAATATCATGCTATACAGGACCTCATGTGGAAGTCGAAGACACCAGCATTCCGTGGTGGTATGCCTCCCAGGTATGGTGCTGACTCAGCTTTTAAGGCTTGTTTTTTGATCAGCATTCTAGAAGTTGGCGAAGTCAAAAATGAAGCATACTTTGTGGATGACAACTTCTTGTTTATTGCGTAGAGCAAAGTTTCGATGTAGTTCTTACACCAATACCTTGGTAAAAGTGCTTGATAACGGTGTAAGAATCTACATCAAAAGTTGCTCTATGCAATTAGCAAGAAGTTGTCATCCATAAATAGGTATGCTTCATCATTAAGACTTGGTTTGCAGTTTATTTTAGAAAACTATAAACATGATCAGCTTAATGGTTTGGGTTGTAAGGGGAGGATAGTTTTGAAGACATGTTTCTCATTAAACCTTACCCATACTCATGTATTTCACCGAAGGAGTGAGTTTGGTTTTGCGCCGCTTTTAGTGATATTCCAGCAATATCACAGCAATGAACACCAGAAATGGGATTCACACATTGTACCCATGTGGGGAATCGAACCCAGTCTCTTCAGCATGACGAGCTTAACACTTTAACCACTAGGCTACCCCATCGCCCCTTCACCAAAGAGGAAAGTCTTTTGACATTCCCCCCAAACCGAGTTGATGTGCCGTGATAAAAAGTCCCTCCTTGGGAACAACAAATAGTGACACTATATGGGACTTCCAGGCCATGTCCCCATTACTCCATGCTTGTCGGAAGTTTGTTTGTTTGTTGTTTAAATCCTTACTCCGCAATATTCCAGCTATATGGCAGCAGTCTGTAAATAATCGAGTCTGGACCAGACAATCCAATGATCGATATCATGATCATCAATCTAGGCACTTGGGATATAACGACATGTGTCAACCAAGTCAGCGAGACTGACCACCCAATCCTGTTAGTCACCCTTCGACAAGCTTGTGTTGCTGAAGACCAAATCTAACCCTGATATTCACGGCTAGCTTGTTGTAAGAACTCACAAATAGGGGATTGAGTGGTAACAATGTTCGACCCAAAAACTGTCGCTCATGTTACCAACTTCTGTTTTTCCTGGTATGTTTCACAGGCTAGTATGATGTACCTGGAATATTGCAGCTTACTCATTATGATTCTTCAACCACTCTATATTTCTATAATTTTGCAGAGAGACAAATCCAGACCACGGTCCTGATGCCTGTAGAGTTCACGGGTCACTTGAGGTCAACAAGGTTGCAGGCAACTTTCACATTACTGCTGGAAAGTGAGTTGGATAATAACTTATATAGTCAGCAGTGATGTCTCAGTTGATGCTGTGTGAGTGAGTGAGTGAGTTGGATAATAACTTATACAGTAAGCAGTGATGTCTCAGTTGAAGCTGTGTGAGTGAGTGAGTTGGATAATAAGTTATACAGTAAGGGGTGATGTCTCAGTTGATATGTGAGTGAGTGAGTTGAGATAATAACTTATACAGTAAGGAGTGATGTCTCAGTTGATATGTGAGTGAGTGAGTGAGTTGGATAATAACTTATACAGTAAGCAGTGATGTCTCAGTTGATGCTGTGAGTGAGTGAGTTAGATAATAACTTATACAGTGAGCAGTGATGTCTCAGTTGATGCTATACAGTAAGGAGTGAGTTGATGCTGTGAGTGAGTTGGATAATAACTTATACAGTAAGCAGTGATGTCTCAGTTGATGCTATGTGAGTGAGTGAGTGAGTTGGGTAATAAGCTTATACAGTGAGTGGGAGTGAGTGAGTTGGATAATAACATTGATGTCTCAGTTGATGCTATGTGAGTGAGTGAGTGAGTTGGATAATAACTTATACAGTGAGCAGTGATGTCTCAGTTGATGTATGTGAGTGAGTGAGTTGGATAATAACTTATACAGTGAGCAGTGATGTCTCAGTTGATGCTATGTGAGTGAGTGAGTGAGTGAGTTGGATAATAACTTATACAGTGAAGCAGTGATGTCTCAGTTGATGCTGTGTGAGTGAGTGAGTGAGTTGGATAATAACTTATACAGTGAGCATTGATGTCTCAGTTGATGCTGTGTGAGTGAGTGAGTGAGTTGGATAATAACTTATACAGTGAGCATTGATGTCTCAGTTGATGCTATGTGAGTGAGTGAGTGAGTTGGATAATAACTTATACAGTGAGCATGATGTCTCAGTTGATGCTATGTGAGTGAGTGAGTGAGTTGGATAATAACTTATACAGTGAGCAGTGATGTCTCAGTTGATGCTGTGTGAGTGAGTGAGTGAGTTGGATAATAACTTATACAGTGAGCATTGATGTCTCAGTTGATGCTAGGTGAGTGAGTGAGTGAGTTGGATAATAACTTATACAGTGAGCATTGATGTCTCAGTTGATGCTGTGTGAGTGAGTGAGTGAGTTGGATAATAACTTATACAGTGAGCATTGATGTCTCAGTTGATGCTATGTGATGCTGTTGATGCTATATTGTGAGTGAGTGAGTAAGTAGAGTTTAAAGTTTAAGGCTGATTTTATCTATATTCCTGCAATTTCATGGTGGAGGTAACCCCAAAGTTGTATAATGTGAGTTAGGTTTACGCCGCTTTTTACAATATTCCAGCAATATCACAGCTGAGATAACCAGGTTTGGGCTTCACGCATTGTGCTGATGTCAGGAATTAAACCCAGGCCTTTGGCATGACGAGAGAAATCTGCAGACATAAGCCTACTCTACTGGCTAAAGCTGTATGACAGTTCTTCATTTTTGTGAAAAAATAATATGACACATATTGCTTATGACATGACAGATGGATTTAATGTAACTACTATGTATTTTGATAATAGCTACCTTCAGTGAAGCTTCGCTGAAGGGTTTACATTTCATTCATGTTCTTTCTAAAAATGACAATAGAAACATCTACTCAAACCTCAAAATTACGGATTGTCGGTTCCGACCAAGCAGGTCAAATATCTGACAATTATTTACTAGTTAGTTTCTCCAACAGTTTGATTGTAATTAGAGCGGTGTGAAAATATGTGGGAAAAGAGTGCAATATGTTTATGTTCTGTATGCTACTAGATCAGTTCCCATGATTCCAAGAGGACATGCTCACATCGCCATAATGCTCTCCGAAAGGGGTAAGATGTGTCTGTGTGTCTACAGTGTGTGTAACTGTGTACTGTGACACTGAGTATCGTGTGTATTGTAGCACTGTGTGTTGTAGCACTAATGTGTGTGTTGTTTGCTGTGGCACTAACCTGAGGGCATGTGTGTCGTATACCGTTTTGCACACCATTGTAACCTGCTTCCTATCTCCATCACATTCTCTCAACAATCATAGGAATGACAAATGATGATTTAAAGTTTCTGATCTTTTTCTGACAATCCTGACCGACATCTCCGATAAGTGCTGTTGGTTGGATGAAAATTGATATAGAACATGTAGTAATTCCCCTAGTAATTTCAACCTGGTAACAGTTTTCGCAGATTAACTCCTTCCTAAATATTATACAGTCATCCCTCGCAATAACTCTCTTCGCGATACCACGGATCCAGTTAAACTGCGGGGTAATCTGTGGCTCCCATCAAAAAAACACAATTCCACATCTTCACGTCACCGGGAATAGCATATCACCAAATCCGCTATTTTGCTCAAGTTAATCGTACTATGTACCATGTACTATGCTATTCTTTCATAACTGACTCTCCATTAAGCAGGGTTTTTAAAAACATCCTTGATTATACAGGTTTTCCTATCAGCAGTATGAGCTTTTGAAGCTGAGCATGACACACCCCACCTGGCCAGCGTATAATATTGTCATATGTGACAAATCAAATGTTGCCCATGATTGTTGACAGAGCTCTACTAATCACTGGGTTGAAGGTGTCTCCTGATGGGATTTACCAATAAGCATAAAACAAGTCAAAAACATGTTACAGCATGACTGGTCGAAATTGTTAAATAATATGTCAGTGTAAATGACGATGCTTTGTGGAAAATGAAAATTCATCATATAATTACTTGCAGTAAAGGTACTGGTGTGAAAAACTGGACAGTCTCCGGACTATTTTTGATGGCCGAGACACTGGTCAGTGCAAGCTTTATAGTAATATTCCCTGAAATTAGTGAACAGAAAACAATTGTGCAAGACTGGGAAACAGTATATTTGGCTGTGTTGAACCATTTTGTATCGAAGTACAATTGCAAACCATTTCCCATTAAATAAAAATGCCTTAGTAGAATTATTGAACGAAGGACTTAAATCTTCTTCCTGATAATGGCCTTCCCATCAGGCGCTTTAGAAACCATCTACTCTTCCAGAAGCTCGGTCTAGTTGCAGCATTATCAGCGTGTATGGCATTGTTCTTTGTTTTAATAACCTATTCTCACATACCACCCACTATAAGAGGTTGTATACTTTCTTTCCTCCTTGTTTAGAGCAGTGCAGATAAAGGGAGCTAATTACCACACTCACATGGCCAATTTAGTCCTTGTGAAAGGTAGGTTAGAGGAACGTCTCCAGGTCAGCCAGATCTAACCATCCTCTATATTTTCATTCTTTCCATTCTGGGGAGTACATTCTCGGTACTTACATTCCTTAATAGAGATGTAGTATATGTTTTGAATGTTCATTGATTTTAGTTTTGTAGAAATTTAATTTTAAAAGTTGAGGGTTTATGTCATGTCAAGGGGAAGTAACTCTATTACTTTTAGTGAGATAGGTTCTTTAATCTTTGTAGAGGATATGCTTTCAGCTTCCTGCTTCTTTTGCTTCTGCTTGCCCTATTCTGGTGAAGGACTGTGCATGGCATTCTAGAGTTGATGTAATAATGTTTGTTTGCTGATGAAAAGTACTGCAAAGGTTGCATTATGTGTCTTGGTTGGTCGGCACCGTTCCATGTGCTTGTGGGTTTCTCCAAGTGGTAGATGTGACAACTCTCACATGAAGACACAGAGTGAGTGAGTGAGTTTAGTTTTATGCCATTTTAGCAATATTCCAGCAATATCACAGCGGGGGGACACCAGAAATGGGCTTCAGTGTAGGGAATTGAACCCAGGTCTTCAGTGTGACAAGCTAATGCTTTAACCACTATGCTACCCCGGAGCCACAGAGCCATGATATCTATAACTGTAATACTGTTTATGTTGTGTTGTGCCAAACTCAATCACTGCTTTTGTCATATTGCAGTCAAGATCAATATTTCTCAGTGACACGTGAAAGTCATGGTTAGAATTAGAAGATAAAGCTACTCTGTTTTCAATTTTGCGGTCCTTTATCATTAATTTAAGACCGCTAAATGTAATTTAAAAACCGAACGCGTAGGTTATGACGTGTGGGCCAACGTGGGTTGTTGACGTCATGCCCGCTAGATCTAGACCCGGTTTGAAGTATGGCGGAATACTGCCGCTTTTGCGCTGCTGACAAATCTTCCAGCTTCGTAGTTTCTTCAGTGGGATTAGGGTCAATAATTCATCTTCAAACCATTCCCTTTTTGCTTCAAAAAGATCAAAGATGCTGCCAAGGTAGAAATTGCCGATGTCTGACATGTTTGTTTACAAACAAAAGGGTTAACGAGTTCATTGTGTTCATAATGAATCGGTCACTTTAATTAGCGGTCTTAAACTGCCATTTAAGTACGGTTTTGATGAGCTCTGAGCCAATCAAAATCGAGTATCACACAATGTCGTGCTAGAATTGCTCTTCAGCTACCCATGCATGTTGTCAGAGACGACTAATGGGATTGATGACCAGGCTCACTGACTTTGTTGACATCACCTTATGCCAAATTTAGATCGATGCTCATGCTGTTGATCACCAAATTGTTTGGTCCATACTAAATTATTTATAGACTGCCTCCATATAGCTGGAATGACTGACTGAGTTTGGTTTTACGCCGCTTTTAGCAATATTCCAGCAACATCACAGCGGGGGACACCAGAAATGGGCTTCACACATTGTACTCATGTGGGGATTCGAACCCAGGTCTTCAGCGTGACGAGCCAACGCCTTAACCACTAGGCTACCCCACCGCCCTCCATATAGCTGGAGTATGAATACAACATTGAATAACAAACAAAACAAAACAAAAGTTTTCTCAGTAAACATTTAATATAATTATTTGCCCATGGATACCAGATAAGCCCTGTGTTGAGAGGCTGTTAATCTTCATCAGTAACATGTTTTTGCATGTTGTATAGGACCAGAAAGGTTTATCTGTTTTCTTTGTAATTGCTATCACAGTTAACATACTTTCATTTGAACACTACAATTAGATATGCATTGACAAAAGTGATTTTGCTGCAACTTTCAGACTATAACTTCTCTCATCGAATTGATCATCTTTCATTTGGGGAACCAGTGTCTGGAGTTATCTACCCTTTGGACGGAGAACTACAGTCTACAAAATCACGTAAGTCCATCTGCATTACCATGATGTGGTAATTGTAGAAATGCTTCCCCTGAATCAATTTTTTGGTTAGAAATTGAAAGAACATGAATTATGAAAGTTTAATGGATGTTATTGTTTATTGTCATTGTTTGTAATGACCGTTCATTCGCCAACTGTGAGACACATCACCACTATGGATGACTTATAAGTTTCCATGACTAAACACTTAACCTGCCAGGTAAACAGAAGCCTGAAATGATATTTCTGATATATACTGGCATTTCTTCATAGTCCAGCAAGAATTAACCCCCTGTTGGATATCTTGTTGATGCTGTTTGTGATGGATGATGCTGTTTGTGATGGATGGTGCTGTTTGTGATTGATGATTTGTGATGGATGATGCTGTTTGTGATGGATGATTTGCAATGGATATGCTGTTTGTGATAGATGATGCTGTTTGTGATGGATGATGCTGTTTGTGATGGATAATTTGTGATGGAGATGCTGTTTGTGATGGAGAAGGATGGTGCTGTTTGTGATGGATGATGCTGTTTGTGATGGATGATGCTGTTTGTGATGGATGATGCTGTTTGTGATGGATGATGCTGTTTGTGATGGATAATTTGTGATGGAGATGCTGTTTGTGATGGATGGTGCTGTTTGTGATTGATGATGCTGTTTGTGATGGATGATGCTGTTTGTGATGGATGATGCTGTTTGTGATGGATAATTTGTGATGGAGATGCTGTTTGTGATGGATGGTGCTGTTTGTGATTGATGATGGTGATGGATGGCGCTGTTTGTGATGGATAATGCTGTTTGTGATGGATGATGCTGTTTGTGATGGAGGATGGTGCTGTTTGTGATGGATGATGCTGTTTGTGATGGATGATGCTGTTTGTGATGGATGATGCTGTTTGTGATGGATGATGCTGTTTGTGATGGATGATGCTGTTTGTGATGGATGATGCTGTTTGTGATGGATGATGCTGTTTGTGATGGAGGTGCTGTTTGTGATGGATGATGCTGTTTGTGATGGATGATGCTGTTTGTGATGGAGATGCTGTTTGTGATGGATGATGCTGTTTGTGATGGAGATGCTGTTTGTGATGGAGATGCTGTTTGTGATGGATGGTGCTGTTTGTGATAGATGATGCTGTTTGTGATGGATGGTGCTGTTTGTGATGGATGATGCTGTTTGTGATGGAGATGCTGTTTGTGATGGAGATGCTGTTTGTGATGGATGATGCTGTTTGTGATGGATGATGCTGTTTGTGATTGATGATTTGTGATGGATGATGCTGTTTGTGATGGATAATTTGCAATGGATATGCTGTTTGTGATAGATGATGCTGTTTGTGATGGAGATGCTGTTTGTGATGGAGATGCTGTTTGTGATGGATGATGCTGTTTGTGATGGAGATGCTGTTTGTGATGGAGATGTTTGTGATGGATGATGCTGTTTGTGATAGATGGTGCTGTTTGTGATGGATGATGCTGTTTGTGATGGATGATGCTGTTTGTGATGGAGATGCTGTTTGTGATGGAGATGCTGTTTGTGATGGAGATGCTTTGTGATGGAGATGGATGGTGCTGTTTGTGATGGATGATGCTGTTTGTGATGGATGATGCTGTTTGTGATGGATGATGCTGTTTGTGATGGAGATGCTGTTTGTGATGGATGATACTGTTTGTGATGGATGATGCTGTTTGTGATGGAGATGCTGTTTGTGATAGATGGTGCTGTTTGTGATGGATGATGCTGTTTGTGATGGAGATGCTGTTTGTGATAGAGATGCTGTTTGTGATGGAGGTGCTGTTTGTGATGGATGATGCTGTTTGTGATGGAGATGCTGTTTGTGATGGATGGTGCTGTTTGTGATGGATGATGCTGTTTGTGATGGATGATGCTGTTTGTGATGGATGATGCTGTTTGTGATGGATGATGCTGTTTGTGATGGATGATGCTGTTTGTGATGGATGGTGCTGTTTGTGATGGATGATGCTGTTTGTGATGGATGGTGCTGGATGGTGCTGTTTGTGATGGAGATGCTGTTTGTGATGGATGATGCTGTTTGTGATGGATGGTGCTGTTTGTGATGGATGATGCTGTTTGTGATGGATGATGCTGTTTGTGATGGATGATGCTGTTTGTGATGGAGATGCTGTTTGTGATAGATGGTGCTGTTTGTGATGGATGGTGCTGTTTGTGATGGAGATGCTGTTTGTGATGGATGGTGCTGTTTGTGATGGAGATGCTGTTTGTGATGGATGATGCTGTTTGTGATGGATGATGCTGTTTGTGATGGATGATGCTGTTTGTGATGGATGATGCTGTTTGTGATGGATGATGCTGTTTGTGATGGATGATGCTGTTTGTGATGGAGATGCTGTTTGTGATGGATGATGCTGTTTGTGATGGAGATGCTGTTTGTGATGGATGATGCTGTTTGTGATGGATGATGCTGTTTGTGATGGATGATGCTGTTTGTGATGGATGATGCTGTTTGTGATGGATGGTGCTGTTTGTGATGGATGATGGTGCTGTTTGTGATGGATGATGCTGTTTGTGATGGATGGTGCTGTTTGTGATGGATGATGCTGTTTGTGATGGATGATGCTGTTTGTGATGGATGATGCTGTTTGTGATGGATGGTGCTGTTTGTGATGGATGATGCTGTTTGTGATGGAGATGCTGTTTGTGATGGATGGTGCTGTTTGTGATGGAGATGCTGTTTGTGATGGAGATGCTGTTTGTGATGGATGATGCTGTTTGTGATGGATGATGCTGTTTGTGATGGAGGTGCTGTTTGTGATGGATGATGCTGTTTGTGATGGAGATGCTGTTTGTGATGGAGATGCTGTTTGTGATGGAGATGCTGTTTGTGATGGAGATGCTGTTTGTGATGGATGATGCTGTTTGTGATGGAGATGCTGTTTGTGATGGATGATGCTGTTTGTGATGGAGATGCTGTTTGTGATGGAGATGCTGTTTGTGATGGAGATGCTGTTTGTGATGGATGGTGCTGTTTGTGATAGATGGTGCTGTTTGTGATGGATGATGCTGTTTTGTGATGGAGATGCTGTTTGTGATAGATGATGCTGTTTTGTGATGGATGATGCTGTTTGTGATGGAGGTGCTGTTTGTGATGGAGATGCTGTTTGTGATGGATGATGCTGTTTGTGATGGAGATGCTGTTTGTGATGGATGATGCTGTTTGTGATGGAGATGCTGTTTGTGATGGAGATGCTGTTTGTGATGGAGATGCTGTTTGTGATGGAGATGCTGTTTGTGATGGAGATGCTGTTTGTGATGGATGGTGCTGTTTGTGATAGATGATGCTGTTTGTGATGGATGATGCTGTTTGTGATGGATAATGCTGTTTGTGATGGAGATGCTGTTTGTGATGGAGATGTTTGTGATGGATGATGCTGTTTGTGATGGATGATGCTGTTTGTGATGGAGATGCTGTTTGTGATGGATGATGCTGTTTGTGATGGATGATGCTGTTTGTGATGGAGGTGCTGTTTGTGATGGAGATGCTGTTCAGATGGATAATGCTGTTTGTGATGGAGATGCTGTTTGTGATGGAGATGTTTGTGATGGATGATGCTGTTTGTGATGGATGATGCTGTTTGTGATGGATGATGCTGTTTGTGATGGATGGATGCTGTTTGTGATGGAGATGCTGTTTGTGATGGAGAAGGATGGTGCTGTTTGTGATGGAGATGCTGTTTGTGAAGGATGATGCTGTTTGTGATGGATGATGCTGTTTGTGATGGAGGTGCTGTTTGTGATGGAGATGCTGTTTGTGATGGAGATGCTGTTTGTGATGGATAATGCTGTTTGTGATGGAGATGCTGTTTGTGATGGAGATGTTTGTGATGGATGATGCTGTTTGTGATGGATGATGCTGTTTGTGATGGATGATGCTGTTTGTGATGGATGATGCTGTTTGTGATGGAGATGCTGTTTGTGATGGATGATGCTGTTTGTGATGGATGATGCTGTTTGTGATGGAGATGCTGTTTGTGATGGAGATGCTGTTTGTGATGGAGGTGCTGTTTGTGATGGATGATGCTGTTTGTGATGGTGCTGTTTGTGATGGAGATGCTGTTTGTGATGGATGATGCTGTTTGTGATGGATGATGCTGTTTGTGATGGAGATGCTGTTTGTGATGGAGAAGGATGGTGCTGTTTGTGATGGAGATGCTGTTTGTGATGGATGATGCTGTTTGTGATGGATGATGCTGTTTGTGATGGAGGTGCTGTTTGTGATGGAGATGCTGTTTGTGATGGATAATGCTGTTTGTGATGGAGATGCTGTTTGTGATGGAGATGTTTGTGATGGAGATGCTGTTTGTGATGGATAATGCTGTTTGTGATGGAGATGCTGTTTGTGATGGAGATGTTTGTGATGGATGATGCTGTTTGTGATGGATGATGCTGTTTGTGATGGATGATGCTGTTTGTGATGGATGATGCTGTTTGTGATGGAGATGCTGTTTGTGATGGAGATGCTGTTTGTGATGGAGGTGCTTTTTGTGATGGATGATGCTGTTTGTGATGGTGCTGTTTGTGATGGAGATGCTGTTTGTGATGGATGATGCTGTTTGTGATGGATGATGCTGTTTGTGATGGAGATGTTTGTGATGGAGATGCTGTTTGTGATAGATGGTGCTGTTTGTGATGGATGGTGCTGTTTGTGATGGATGGTGCTGTTTGTGATGGAGGTGCTGTTTGTGATGGAGATGCTGTTTGTGATGGATGGTGCTGTTTGTGATAGATGGTGCTGTTTGTGATGGATGGTGCTGTTTGTGATGGATGGTGCTGTTTGTGATGGATGGTGCTGTTTGTGATGGAGATGCTGTTTGTGATGGAGATGCTGTTTGTGATAGATGATGCTGTTTGTGATGGATGGTGCTGTTTGTGATGGATGGTGCTGTTTGTGATGGAGATGCTGTTTGTGATGGAGATGGATGATGCTGTTTGTGATGGAGATGCTGTTTGTGATGGAGGT